GGGGCTAAGAACATGCTTATCTCCCTGAGCCTGGCCTTCATAAGTCCATTCCATCACACTTGTTCAGTGTCTGAGTCACATTTCAAATCTCTAAATTTGTTAACATTTTATAGCAGTTATCCTCAAAATCCTGTGATACATACCAATATCACTACAGTACAAAGATGATCTTCCTCGCTCTGCTGGTGTAGTGTAGCCCAGTTGGTTATTAACAATGAGATGAATGCTTCCACCTATTCTAAAATGGGGCAGATTGGAAAGGGTAAATGTTTCCGGAACAATGCCTTGGCCAGAGAAAGAGGCATCTCCGTGAACCTGTATCACAAAGAAAAATGGCATCGATAACAAAACTGATTGGACCCTGCCTTCTTCCAAGGAGACTCAACTTTACTCATGTGGGAAAACAAAAACGTGATACTGCTGTATTTTCTTAAGGAGCTCAAAGTCAAAAGGGAAACTTCTCTGTATAACAGACCAACTGTATAACCGAGGGGTGAAGTGCAGATGTGAATTTAATGTGTGACAGCTGTGAAAAAAAGAAATTCCATGCAAGGGAATGGAAAGGAATTGAAAATAAAATGGCCAGTATATTAATGTCCTTAGACAAATCTAAGGTATGTCTGCATTTGGATGACTGGGTACAAATCTGGTCACCACATTTGAAAAAGAATAAAATAGAGTTGAAAAAATACAGAAAAAAAAATCAGGGGGGCTGAATAGATTTCTAATGAGAAAAGGTTAGAACGTTTGGGCCTCTTTAGTTTGGAAAAAAGATGAACAAGGGGTGACATGATCAACATGTATAAAACCGCACATGGCATGAAGAATGCAGACAAGAAGAACTCTCTCAAAATGCTAGAAGCAATGGCATTTAATGAACCTTTGGAAGAAGCTTTAGACAAAAGAAAGTATTTATTCACACAGAGCATAATAAACCATCTGGATTCACTAATAGGGTAAGATAGGGTAGCGGGCATTAATTAATTAATTAATTAATTAATTAATTAAATAAGATAGAGAAATGAGCATTAACTTGGATGGCTTTAAAAGGGGGACAGAAGAAATCCAAGGAGGACAGCTCTGTCATGGGCTGCTAATATTGAAGGTTCAAGGTTACTCCAAATGGGGGGCAGCATGTCTCCAAATACCAGCTGCAGAAGAACAACATGGGGAAGAAGATAGGTTTCCATTCCCTGGAACTGCAGTTTGGAATGGGAGGGGGGCCTATAGGCTCTCTCACCCTTCTTTAAAGTAGGAAAGCCATAGATAAAGCCTCTCTAGGCTGATGGCTATCTAGCCCCTTCCAGGAGACTGCAACTACTTTCAAACTATTCTTAACAATTCAGAACTTCTGGAGAAGCACAGACACTAAAATAGCCTCCATAATTGTTTTAAAAGTTGATTGTCAGCAAAGCAGTATAATTCATTTAATTCATCTGGCATCCTTTGCTTAGCCTCTCATCTGAGAACAGACAATACCATGCTGCGTCTAGCTTTCACAATGTCTCTGCCTCATACACCTTTAGGGCGTTGCTTGGCTCAGAAGCTTTATTTCATAATCTCCCATCTAGCTTTCTGACTTTCCATGCTCCCCATTTTCTGCTGATTCTCAAGATACCTGCAGGCAGATGACTTTATCTCCTGGCTGTGCAGAACTAGATAGGGAGTAATCTCCATCAAGCAAAGATTGTTGTCTCCCTCTTGTTTTGCCAACTGCCACAGGGTTAATGGCTTCTAGATGGGAAGGATTCGGCAACAAGATGACATGAATCGGGCGGTGAAACCCAAAGTCCAGATCCACAGATGCCGTGAGGTGGGAGAGGACATCTCCAATTGCAGGGGAGTTCTCCGGGAATTCACTCAAGCCTTGCATTTTACGGAACATCAGCTTCCCAGAAAGGTAAGAAAATTACATGTAATCACTTTTGCAATTTTGAATAAAATTATTAATGCAGCAGTTTCCAAACATTTGGCCAACTAGCTGCCTTTCTACCTCTGTCTACATTTTGAGGCATTGCTCTCTTTGCTTCTAAGCTTCCTCTGAAACAGCTGGTATCTTTTCTAAGAACCGACATATCATATCTGCATGGCTCCACTGTAACTCTACCCTGTGAAAGCTGTAGCTATCACATGACCCAGCCTAACAGTGTTCACACTTATTGAACACTATCTCACAACATCTTCATTATGCAATTTATTCCCAAATATATACCACAGGCTGTCCATAAATCATAACTTGCTAACCATAAGAGGTGGGTTCAGAGAACTCATGGAAGCACAGCTAAACACGTTGTGACATGCAGACATGATGTACAAACCAGAACTAAGAAGCTATGATTGGCCCCAAACATAAGCTTTAAAGCCTATTGGGGAAGCAGATCTAAATTCCAACTCCACTTCCTTTTCTCATGATGCTCTAGAAGCTCCAAAAAACTGAAGATGCTGAATAAAGAGAGTTTGCATGAATTCTCTACCCATCATGTCACACAGTAAGCTGTTCTCAAATATTTTGACTTTTGGGAGCACAGCTCAAGGTAGAGCATAGGGTAGAACATATGCTTTACATAGCAAAGGCCGTGGGGTGAGTCCTTGGCTTCTCCAAATAAAAAGATGAAAAACTTCTGCAGGAGACTTGCAGAGTTGCTACCAGTCAGAGTAAGCAATACTGGGTTGGGTTAGGAAATACTTTGACCTTGTAAAAGGTGCTTTTCTGCAATCCTATGATCTCAACCAAGAGAGTTGAGGTTATGGAGAATTATTTCTAGAACCCAAATATGCTAATTCTAATAGTTATACTAGAGTTTAGTTACCCATGTTACAATTTTGCTATATTTTTATTTAACTAGTAAGTGACCTAGAGCTCATTCACACACCATTCTTGGTATTTTCTGACACCAAGATTGCCTGTTTGTCATTTGTGGAGGATGCGTCCTCTGTCTTGGGGCTAACCTGCCATTGAAGAATACTGTGGCCAGATCAAAGTGATCCAGCAGGAAAGTCAGGTTTTCCTGAGGAAAACAGAACAAGTCTTATGGGACTATTCTGCTTTGCATAGAGAAGCCATTGCAGGACTGCCCCCTCTCCCATCCAGCCATGAAGGCCTGTGCCTCCCCAGCCATTTGTGTTTTAACTGCCAAAGAAAACAGATCCTCACCTAGCACCTCACTTTTACTTTTCTTTCTGCTGTGGTAGAAATAGCGACCTTGTGGAAATTATTCCACAAGATCTTTCATTTTGCATCGGGAGTGCTGAGTCAAAAGGAAGAAGTCCAAACAGTTGCTTCAAGAAGGACCTAAGTCCTCTCCTACGGCAGGCACCGCTTCTTCTCAATCTACAAGAACCCATGGCTGCACAGGAAGCCGTGTGCATTCACTTCTGTGCAGAGAGCAATTTTATTGGCCTTGCTTGCAGAGGTGCACTGAAAGGACCAGAGTTGCAGAGGGGTTGAAGAAAGGGCCACACTGTCTTCCCCTCTCAGGGACAGAGAAGGAAAGAACACTGCTGGGGGCCTGGGGAAGGGCCCTTCATCTTGCGACCAGGCCTTGAATCTACAAGATATGAAAACACGTGCCTGAGCTGTAGGAACTTCTAAGTAACTTCTGCACACAAGGCCAGAGAATGGATTATTTGGGGGGTGAAATATTTGTAAAATGAGATTTGGATGGCCAAAATCAGCTCCAAGGGCTTCTCAGAGAATCATCATGCCAGCACGATTATCGTTCATGCAGCTTTTACTGTCAGCTATCATTCTGTATCAAAATTAGCCACTCTGGAGGACATTTTCTAAAAACCCATTCCTTACCTCAGGCGGAAAGTGAAGAAGACCCGTGAGAAGATTAAGTCTACCTCGATGAGGCATTCCCAAGATGATGTCTGTCACCCCACTATACGAGCACATCTTTAACAGTTCATGAAAGAATCCCATCATGCTTTCTGCACCCTCGCCGCCGTAGCGTTTCACTGTGGCAAACTTGGTAGCTAAAAAACGATCAAATTCCTGTGAAGCATAAAATGTTGGAGTTATTTATTCAACTTGCTTCGCTACTGGTTACCAAAGACTCTAATGTACCATTAGATCTGCATAAGGAATAACCGCAGGGAACACTAATCAAAGTTACTCTTAGTCAGGATACACAAACCTAGGTCAAAACCAAGTTTCCAAACTGGGTGGATAATTTTGATTACTGCCAATACAAAACGGTTCAAAATGAACCATAAAAGGGAAAGGGGGATTTGTACTGGAAAACAGAGAAAGACATGCTTAAATCCAGAATAAATGACCATAGCAGTTTGGGCTATGCAAAACCTTTTCATTATGAACTGCTTTGACTTCAAAATATCTCCTGTCAAGTTCAAAACAGTTGTGCCATGCTCAAAATGGGCTGTTTAGATCATTCTGGAAGTGTTTTGAGCTGAAAACAACCATTTCAAACTTGAGACAATGGTTTAAGAGGTTTGGCACACAACTAATAATGTACTTTCAGTAGTTGTTTAATCAAAATTAAGAGATCAATTATCTTCTGTATCCATTAGGCCACAGCTATATGACTACGTTCTGAAAAAACAGTGTGCACAAAATGTTTTACTGCTTATATCTGAAATACCCTCGCTCTTCCTTAAGTTGGCTATCCTTTTTCACCCCCAGCAATGGCAGATGGATAGCCAATACAGAAATGGAAACAATTCTTTTACTTGTTCCACAAGGTGTAATATTCGCTGTCAAAAATGAATATATACAGCCTATTCAGCTGTCTTCAGTCCAAAGTGATTAGAAAATAAAAGAAAAAAAAATAGGATAGAAAAAGTCTAGGAGTAGTTAAGGAACACGCATGCACAGCTCACAATCTTGACTCCCCCCCCCACCTTTAAGTTCAATCCTATGCATTTACATGGTGTTTCACATTTGTACTAGTCTGGTTACAGACAACAAATGTTATCAATACATCAGCCTTAGCATCCTCTGTAGAGATCAGGTGTTTTGCAAAAACGGACCAACGTCCTCAATTCCTCCTGGTTACGGAGATATTTATTCATTGGACTTTGCACTCTGTTCACTCATTCACCAGTGTGGGCAGTATGAATACACAGTGGGCTAATATGAACCTCAAACAAACTTTTAGGGCTTATCTTTTGTATTTCTGTAATAAGACTGGGATCAGCATGGATTATTTACTTTGTTCTATAAACACAAGGATTTTTTTTTTTATTCCTACACTCATCTGTGCAATTTGAGCAACGGATATTTTCTCTTTCAATTAGGCTCCAAAGTCAAAGCAATGACTCTCTTGAAAACACTTTACTGTCTCTATTAGCCTGTAGTTGAATGCATACAACTTTGCAAATCAGGGGAGGACAGACACTAGCTCCAGCCCACTTTTAAAACACTGCCTCCGACAAGGGATTGCGTTCACCACAAACAGATACAGGTATTCTAATCATATTCAGCACAAACAGAATCAGGTATCTTCATATTCTAATTTGCAAAATGATGCTGTCAATTAGAATTCAGTCGAGGGGAAAACAATCCCTTCAAAATATCAGTTGCATTTAGCATTTCAGTCATGTAGCTGAACAACCATCCATTTTCATAAATTAGCCTTGGTTTTGCTTCTTTAATCCGTAAAGATAATGATTTTCTCGCACGCGTACGCCAACATGTATTCAATGCACCTGAGATTCTAGCATGAGCTTGGACAAATATTTTTTCTCTTCGGTAGTAAAAGCTTCTTGTTTCAGTTCCTCAAACCGTTTAGCAATCCATTCCTTTTCTTGTATGCTTGACAGCTGGCCAGTCTCTATAGAAATATGTCCACAGAAGATATGCTCCAGGTAAGATAGGACATCTTCAAGAGAAGCTTCATCCTTTCCCATGTTCAAAAGCCCTGAAATGAAAAAGAATGGGAATGATAGTGTACCTCTCTCCAGCAACCATCCAAGATTCCAGCAATAACACAAATGTTCTCCTTGCAAAACAAAAGTATTTTTCAGTTGAGTTTGACTCTTGTGGATTCTATGGACCTATTCTTGCCAACAATATGGAATATAGTTTGGTATTACCCTGTTTTGGGATTTTTTGTTGTTGTTGTTGACTTCCCAGTCTAGTTTTCAGCTTTAGGATTTCCTGGTGAACTTTCATCCATGTACTAGTCAGGGCCAGCTCTGCTTAACTTCTGCATTCTATGATCTTCAAGTACTAAGAGCTATTTCTGAATTGACATGAATTGGATACAACTGTAAAAAGACCTACCTAGTTATTATTCAACATTACCTGCCGTATTGAAAGGCCCTTGTAAGGTTTCCGTCAGAACCTGAATTTCAGGCACCACATCCATCACAGCCTGGCCAGTAAATAGTGGATTGATTTTGGCAGCTTTGTGCCCATGTTCATGATATGCCGTCACTAAGCGAACTAGTCCATGGTCAGCTATAAATTAAGAGAACAAGTATAAATTTAGCTTGTTTGCAAATGATTACATATGGTGAGGAAGTGTAGGAGGAATCCAAGTTTCTTCTATAGGTCTGATGTAAGTAAAAATATAATAGCATGTAGAGTCCATGGTAATTTGTGTTGAAAACTTGAGGAGTGAAATCTCAGTCCTAGAACACAGAAATCCAAGGATTCCCAGGGAACCTGAACCAGGCCCGGTTTTTCATTTACAGTGGTACGCTTCTGTTCACGAACAATTCGGTTCACGAACAGCTCTGTTTGCAAAATTTTGCCTCCGTTCGCGAACGCCAGATCGGGTTACAAACAGGATCCGCAGCCATTTTCCCTCCCGTGCCGCGTGGTCGCGGCTTCCTGTAGGGAGGGGGACTCTCCCTCCAAGCAATATCCGCCTCCCCGCCCGCCTTCCTGTCCTCCACGCCAGAAGTCGCGTCGAGCAAGGTTAGCGTTCTCTCTCTCCGTACTGTACTTTGTGTCATATTTTTGCAGT